AGCAGGCATAGAGCAGGAGTTCACAATAGCGAGCAAAGCTAGAGTCATTCACAAAGGGCAAGTGAGGAGGAGGAGGCGAGACTGTAAGAGGAGAGGAGATAGGAGGCGACGGCTGAAGCTGCAGACACACGGGCAACAGGAGTCACACTGGCACAGCGGCTACCGGAACAACGCTCCAGACTACTGGAGTAACTGGCTCCGCGGCTAAGACTAGCGGCAAACGAGCAACGGACCCACGGGCGACTGGCACAGCTAGCTACGACTGGGCTACTGGAGCAACGCCCCGGACTACTGGTGCTGCTGACGACACGATGACAACCTCCGTTCAACCAACCTCCTCCAGCTGCCCCACACCTCTCGACACACACCCCCTGCTCAAACCCTAGCTCCACTCCCATAGCACCCCCCTTACACCCCAAACGGCAGGCTCATACACATCCACCTCCCTCAAACCCTAGCTCCACTCCCACAGCACCCCCCTTAAACCCTAAACCCCAGGCTCCCACACATCCACCCCCCTCAGCGACAGCTGCAGCAGTGGGAGACAAAGGAGGAGGAGGAGCAGGGGAGACCACATACCCGTCACCCCCTACTCGCCACCCCCAGACCCTAACACAGGGTAGGGCGGGACGGCGGGTAGGGAGGTTAGGGGGGGGGGGGACGCGCGGTCTCCTAGGGCGCCAAAATAGGCGGCAGAAGGGGCGATGCTCGCCCCCCTCCCCCAGGGCGCCTTCGAAGGAGCCGCGACGGGCGACGGGAAAAGAGGGGAGGGGAGGGGCGGTGCACGTGCCCCCGGTGCGCCGCGGCTGGCGACGGGGCATGGCCAGGGCGGGGCCGGGGCCGGAAGTGGCGGCGACGGGGCCGCTGGAGGCGGCGACGGGGCCGCTGGAGGCGGCGACGGGGCCGCTGGCGGCGACGAAGGGGCCGCTGGCGGCGGCGACGGGGCTGATAGGAGCGGCGACGGGGCCGCTAGGGTCGGCGACGGGGCCGCTGGCGGCGGCGACGGGGCCGATAGGAGCGGCGACGGGGCCGCTAGGGTCGGCAACGGGGCCGCTAGCGGCGTCGACGGGGCCGATAGGGGCGGCGTCGGGGCCGCGAAGGGGCCGCGAGGGGCCTGGAAGGGCGGCGACGGGCCGCGAAGGGGCCGCGAGGGGCCGAGAAGGGCGGCGACGGGGCCGCGAGGAGTAGCGCGAGGGGCACGCCACAGGGCATGCCGAACACAGAGTAGCAGCGGAAGCAGTGAGGTGGGACCACAGGCTAGGAGCGTAGTCGCTCTGATAGCATGTGAAGATTGGAACGAGAATGAAGAAGAGAGCGGGCTTTCACTAGCAGCAATGAGGATACATATAGCAAACCCTAGATGGGTTCTACTCGCTATAGAGCACCCCACTATAGGCTAGAGAATAACATTCTGGCAGCTTCACGTGTCCCGAAGCTGACTTACCGCATCAACCGTTCGCGTCTCACCACAACCCAAGCGCACCAGCTTACGCGCCACTCAAAAAGGTGTATAGCGACGTCTTGTACAACTGCGAGCATGTACAAAACGCATACAATTACACCATCACCTTCATCGACACAACCATACGATACGCCTGGCACCTAAATCTTCCAAGCCGCGACATGGCCTTCGAAGCCTTCGTCGCCTGGCTTCCAGTAGCAGAACGAGAATCAGGCGTCAAACTCAAAAGCTTTCAATCAGATGGAGGGGGGGAATTCACCTCACAGAGGTTCAAGGAGTACTTGGCAGAGAGAGGAATCAAGCGACTCATCTCCCTTACCTACGCCCATCAACAGCAAGGCGTAGCAGAAAGGATGAACAGGATCCTCCAGAACACCATGCGCAAGCTGCTACGTGGCTTGCACCTGCCGAACCACCAGTGGCCCGAAGCAATGGACCACGCCGTTATGCTGCACAACTTGCTCTCGTCATCATCGCTCCCGAACAACGCATCACCGCATCTGCTGTGGACAGGAAAACTGGGCAGCACAAAAATGTTGAGAGTCTTCGGCTGCATGGTACAGTACCGGCCCCCATCTGCACGAGCCGGCCGATTCTCCCAACGCGCATAGTGGGACTACACATGGGCATCAAAAAACATTACAACGCATGGAAGATCTTCGACATCGAGACAAAAGAAACAGTAGCAGCACGTGATGTCATCTTTTACAAAAACCTCACCGTCCGGTACTACCTCGCTAACTTACAAGAAGGAAACCCCGATCGCTCCGATGGATTTCTTGGCACCCGAGCCTTCGCCTCGGCAGAAGATGAAGCTGATTGGGACGAGCAGAACGTGGAAGGAGCCTCAGAAGAAGCCAGACCTCTCCCCTACTGCTCCGTCGACGTGCCAATGGATGACGAAAATCCACGCAAAAGCATCAACGTCGAAACCTATTTCCACTTCGCCGACAACGGTTACGTTACGCCTGCACAAGTCAACACCAACGAAGCAGAACGTGTAGGACCAAACTTCAACCCTACACCAGAAGCGGGAGACGAAGCAGTTTATCTCGGGACACATCACTTCCTCGCTACACACAGAGCGACCTCCAGATACTTGGCCTGGTCACCGCGGTCCACGGCACTGCCATTCCTAAGGAGCCTGCGACACTTCAGCAGGCTCTCGGGGGGGAACATAAGGAAAAATGGCGCGAAGCCATGGACAGGGAGCTGAAAGCACTGCAGGAACGCAACACCTGGAAGGTTGTCCCTATCGGTGCAACACGAAACAAGACAGTACTCACCGGGAAGTGGGTTTTCCGCGTGAAAACAAAGGCAGATGGCACCATTGATAAAGCACGATGGGTCGTGCGCGGCCGACCAAGAGCACGGACGCGACTTCACCGAAACGTTCGTTCCGGTCAGCCGACACACCTCGCTGCGAATCCACCACGCTGCGAATCCTCCTCGCGATTGCCGCCATGAAGAATAAGAAGTTGCGGCAAATTGACGTCGCCAACGCCTTCCTCTACGCACCCGTCGACGCAGAAATCTTCGTCGAGCTACCGCACGGCTCCAATGGAAAGCCAAATCAAGTCTGTCAGTTGCTGAAGTCACTCTACGGTATCAAACAAGCCCTAAGGCTGTGGCAGCAGTACCTACACGCAAGACTCACTCGCATCGGATTCCGTCAGCTACCTCACGACCAAGGCATATACCGGCTCACAAACGGAACCGACTACATCCTGCTAATCGTCTACGTCGACGATTTGCTCTACATCGGCTCAACCGACAGCGTCACTACCTGGTTCGAAGGGGAGTTGCAAAGGGATCTCACCCTCACGGTCTCGTCCACCGTCACACAGTACCTCGGCCTCAACATCCAGGAAGAAGAAAATGCGATCTACCTCAGCGCCGCGAAATACGCCGATACCATCGCCAAGCGCTTCACACTCACACCGACCGCCATCTCCACGCCATACCGCTACACGGCACGAAACCACAAGGAAGGCTCCGCTCTACTCAAGCCCGCCGGCATACGCGACTACCAGAGGAAGCTGGGATGCCTCCTCTTCGCAGCTGTCACCTGCCGCCCGGACCTATCGTACTCTGCAAGCCAGCTCGCCACCTACCTCAAGAAACCTGAAGCGGAACATCTGGCGGAGCTCGACCGTGCTCTTCACTACCTCGTTAGCACCCCAACAATTGGCCTGACCTACCATAAAAACACGACTACAACGCCTAAACTAATCGGCTACGTCGACGCCGATCACGCCGGCGACTCTGACAACAGACGCTCGCGCACCGGCTACATCTATCGCTTCGAACCTATCGGTCCCATCTCCTGGCAGTCGAGTAAGCAGGAATTAATCGCTCTCTCTTCAGTTGAAGCAGAATATATCGCACTCTGCTCAGCCACTAAGGAAGGACTGTACCTTCGCGAACTCCTGGAGGAAGCCAAGCTAGCCCAGTTACCAAACTTTACCCTGTTCTGCGACAATCAGTCGCCCATTCGCATAGCCAACAAGAGCGGCTTCGCGAACAGGACAAAACACATCGCCCTGCGATACTTCTTCGTGAAGGACGAGATCAAGAAAGGAAGACTCGAGCTGTCATACTGCCCCACATCCGAGATGGTAGCTGATTACTTGACCAAGAAGCTCGGAAAGCAGAAGTTCGAGTACTGCATGCTGCTGACTGGACAGAGCCACGTCACCAACTGCGACACTCCAGAAGCGAAGGGGAGTGTTGGAAACAATTAACTCAAAGCGCCTCTGTCGTGTCGAAACACCAAGTCAGAAGCGAAGCGAAGCATATCGAAGCACTGGCGAGTTAACCCTTGGAGGTTGAGCAGTTGCTGGAGGTTATGCGAAAGTCAAAGGTCAGCGACCTTTGACCTGACAAGTACAGCGCGACAGCAAGGACACACAACTGACTCGTTACAGAGCAGTTGCCCGACTCGTCACTGTATCGAACCGCAACAGCAACAGTAAAACAGCTGGAATCGTATCTCTTCGTATTCCCTGTACTCATAATCTTGTATCTCTTTGCTTTAATCAATCAACTTTGCCTTCACACACTAGCGCAAGGTGGTTCACAAACTCTTTATTAAAACGCTTTTGCTACTACACCAGTTCTACCCAGAGTTCACCCCTACACAGATCCTAAGGGCTATTTTCTCAGCCCAACAGGCGCTATGTGCAAGCGAGAGCTAGCTAGGTAGGCGGGGCAGAAGTGATAACCCATCGTAACGTAATCTGATGCCATGTCAATAGAGGTATCAATGACCAGAACGAGGGCATACAGATGAGTAGATGAGTATGTACCAACCTTACACCCTCTCAAGAGTATGTATGTATAGAATTCACAATGCGTAGCCCACCATAGACAGATTCAACTCACTCTAGCATCATCGCTGAGCTTGCATAAAATCTCGGACAAGGGAGTCAGCGCATGATATTAATACTTACATGAAATAAAATTGGCAAAAAATGCCAATGAAACAAAACAAAACAAATAGATCCTACTATCATACCATTGGTCCATCTAGTCCTTCTCACTCACCTCCCCCTCCTCTCCCATTCATCTCTCCATCCTTCCCACTCGTCTCTTGCTCCCCCCCACTCGTCTCTCCCTCCTTCCCACTCTTCTCTCCCTCCCTCCCACTCGTCTTTTCTACGTTCCCAATAGTCTCTCCCTCCTCTCCATTCGCCACTCCTTCCTTCCCACTCGTCTCTCCCTCCTTTCCACCCATCTCTCCCTCCTTTCCACTTGTCCCTCCTTCCTTCCCACATGTTTCTCCCTCCTTCCCACTCATCTCTCCCTCATTTCGAACAGTCTCTCCCTCCTCTCCACTCCTCTCTCCTTCCTTCCCATTCGTCTCTCCCTCCTTCCCACTGATCTCTCTCTCATTCCCACTCGTCTCTCCCCCCTTCCCACTGATCTCTCTCTCATTCCCACTCGTCTCTCCCCCCTTCCCACTCGTCTCTCCCTCCTTCCCACTCGTCTCTTCCTCCTTTCTACTAGTGTCTGCCTCATTCCCACTCTTCTCTCCCTCCCCCCCACTCATCTCTCCCTCATTTCGAACAGTCTCTCCCTCCTCTCCACTCCTCTCTCCTTCCTTCCCATTTGTCTCTCCCTCCTTCCCACTGATCTCTCTCTCATTCCCACTCGTCTCTCCCCCCTTCCCACTCGTCTCTCCCTCCTTCCCACTCATCTCTTCCTCCTTTCTACTAGTGTCTCCCTCATTCCCACTCTTCTCTCCCTCCTCCCCACTCTTCTCTCCCTCCTTCCCACTCGCCTCTCTCTCCTCCCCAGCCATCTCTCCCCCAGTCCCGCCCGTCTTCCTCTCATCCCCACTCATCTCTCCTTCCTTCCCATTCGTATTGTCTTCCTTCCCATGTGTCTCTCCCTCCTTACTGCTCAAGTCCCCTCCCCTCACAGTCGCATCCCCTTCTCCTATAGGCACATCGCCTTCCAGCTCAGAGGTGCCTCCCTCCTCCATACTCATATCCCCCCCCTCGAACACAATAACTCCATCGTTCCTCACACATACGATTCCTGTCCCCTCACTCAACTGCTCGTCCTCACGCATATCCCATCCAGCACTCACATTCTGGCCTGAAAGCAACAACTCTTTCCCTCCACTCAAACCCACCCGTTGACCAGCAATGACCGCCCCTTGACCTGCATTGACCGCCCATTGACCTGCATTGACCGCCCCTTGACCTGCATCGACCGCCCCTTGACCTGCATTGACCGCCCCTTGACCTGCATTGACCGCCCCTTGACCTGCATTGACCGCCCCTTGACCTGCATTGACCGCACCTTGACCTGCATTGACCGCCCTTCGACCTGCATTGACTGCTTCTTCACCTTCACCACCCCTTCCCTCACCACCCTCCTCTGCCCTCACCCTTCCCGCCACACCCCTCTCCCCTGCGTCTGCCCCGTCTGCGCCTCCACCAGCATGCCCGCCCTCCTCCCCTCTCGGACCGGACATCTCACCCTCAGTACCCCCCACCTTGCCCCCGGCGCGCACCTCTCTCCCATCACCCGCCACCTCTCTCCCATCACCCGCCACCTCTCTCCCATCACCCGCCACTTCTCTCCCATCATCCCCAATCTCGCCCCCACTACGCACCGTGTCACCAGGCGCCCCCACCTCCTTGCCCTGCCTCCCCCCACCACCAGGCGCCCCCACCTCCTTGCCCTGCCTCCCCCCACCACCAGGCGCCCCCACCTCCTTGCCCTGCCTCCCCCCACCACCAGGCGCCCCAGGCTCTTTGACGAGGTCAGCAGCACCCCCTCCCCCAGCAGCGCCTCCCCCAGCAGCGCCTCCCCCAGCAGCGCCTCCCCCAGCAGCACCTCCCCCAGCAGCGCCTCCCCTAGCAGCGCCTCCCCCAGCAGCGCCTCCCCCAGCAGCACCTCCCCCAGCAGCGCCTCCCCCAGCAGCGCCTCCCCCAGCAGCGCCTCCCCCAGCAGCGCCTCCCCCAGCAGCGCCTCCCCCAGCAGCACCTCCCCCAGCAGCGCCTCCCCCCAGCTCTTTGACGAGGTCAGCCACGATGCTGCACAGGCTGCACTGCCCTGCCGGCCCGTCCGCCACACAGCGGTGCGACAGCGTGAACACCCCCCCTCCGCTGCCACAGCCCCCAGGCACGCTCACCGTCCCCACCCTCTCATCCCCTACCTGCCGCCCTCCCTGCCCCTCTCTCGCCTCCCCTCCCTGCTCCCCTCTCGCCTCCCCTCCCTGTTCCCCTCCCTGTTCCCCTCCCTGCTCCCCTTGCTGCTCCTCTCCCTGCCTGCCTGTCTCCCCCTGTCCCCTCGCCACAGCACTACTTCTTTCCCTCGCCTGGCCCTGCAGCAGCCGCTCCACCAATGGCAGCCCCACGATCGCTGCTTCCCTCCAAACCCCTCCTTCCACTCCTCCTCCCCCTGCTCCCACATCCGCTCTGCCTTGACCCACACCTACTGCCTCTCCTGCATTCACTGCTGCTTGACTAGCGTTGACTGTTGCTTGACAAGCAATTCTTGTCTGTAGCACAGCAGCTCCTCCCACACGACCTACACCCAACCCTGGCTGGCCGACAGCTTTCTCCACCTGATTCGCTGATGCTCCCCTACTTGGATCCACATTGACCACCAATGGGCTCGCGTTGACTGCTGCTTGACCCGCATTGACCACTGCTTGACTCGCATCGTGACTCGAGTTGACTGTGCCTTGACGCGTTCTGACAGACATTCTAGCAGCCACACACTCAGGGCACTCGCATTGAATCCCGTTGACCACCACTGGAATGCCACCCACCCCCCTTGACCAGCATTGACCAGCATTGACTGCTCCTTGACCAGCATTGACTGCTCCTTGACCAGCATTGACTGCTCCTTGACCAGCATTGACTGCCCCTTGACCAGCATTGACTGCTCCTTGACCAGCGTTGACTGCCTGTTGATAGGCGTTGTTGACTCCTCTCAGGCTCTCTCGCACCAACTCCTCCACGCGATGCCCTAGCTGCTGCAGCCCTGCCATGCTGCCCGCCCCTTGTCTGCCACCCAACCCACCTGTGCTGCCCAGCCCACCCGCGCTATTCAACCCACTTGCTCCTCCTGGCCCCTCTGCCCGTCCTTCCCCTCCTCCCCCACTAACCCCTCTTCCTCCTCCCATCCCTCCCACACCCTGTACACCTCTCGCTCCTCCTGCTGAGGCTGCTGCTACTGCTGCTGCTGCCACACCCACACCCACACCCACACCCCCACCTCCCGCTGCTCTCGTTTGCCCCACCGTTTCCAGTCCCCTCCAACCGAATCCCGTTTCCCCCATCCGCAATCCCTGCGTCCCTGATTCCTCCATCCGCATTCCCCACGTTCCCGTTTCCCCCATCCGTACTCCCCGCGTTCCTGTTTCCCCCATCCGAGTTCCCCCATTTCCTGCTACACCCATTCTTACTCCCCCCAAACGTGCTTCCCCCACCTGAGTTTCCCCATCCCTGTACCCCCCATGCTCATCCCTGCCGTTCCCAACCTTGATGTTCCCACCCCCCCCGCCCCAGTTGCCCCAAACCCCATTGCCCCCACGACATTCCCCCCCATACCCACCCCCCCTGCGCCCATCCCCCCCACACCCCCACCCCCACCCCCACCCAATCCCCCTATCCCCAATCCCCCCCACACCTCCCCAACACCTGCAGTCACACCAGCCACCCCAGCCACTCCAGCCACACCAGCCCCGCCCTGCAGCGGGGCGAGGAGCCGGTCTGTGACGGGTGCATTCCCCCCAGCAGCAGCGGCAGCTTGAATCCCGGCCAGCTGGCGGTCAACGGCCTGAGCGTGGGCGTGGCGGGCGAAGAGGGTCTGCAGGGCGGGGCTCATGGCCTGGAAGGCGTGGGCGTCGAGGGGGCGCTGCAGGAAGGCGTCGATGGCTGCCACGCGCTGCGCGTCCGTGAGAGAGCTGAGGGCCTGCACGTCCTGCACTGACTTGAACACGCTGTCCGCCACTGCGTCTGCAGGTGAAGGGTGGGGTGAGGGAGGGCGGGGGGGGTAATGGTGTTGACGGGAAATGGCCCCACCCCCAATTGGGCGAAGCTGACTTAACAGTCGGGTGCGCGAGAGGTGCAGCTGGCTGCTGTCAATGGTCGAGCCGACTTGGGCAAGGAAGTCGACAGACTTGGTCACCCATGTGGTTTTGGCAAAACCGATCTGCGGGTTGGTACTGCGAACCCGAAGTGGCACATCTGGCGCAACCGTTGGCACGTGGCCAACTTGGAACCTGCGCAATGTTTGTGACGATGCACAACGTGCTTAATTGTTGACCCGCACCTGCGAAATATGTGTGCACACGTGCGCTATTGTCACCTGCGGTTGCAAGGCTGGCAGGCCGCCCTGCTGTAGCGTTGGCAAGCCGCTCTGGTGCAACGCTGGCAGGCTGCCGATTTGCAACGTTAGCAAGCTTCCTCCCAGCCGTGTTGGCACGGTGTCGCTTTGCAGTGCTGGCATGCCGCCTCCGTGTTGCGCTAGAAATCGACCTATCAGTGTGCTAGGTTGCTAGGTTATTGATGTAGCCATTGTTGCCATTACCATTCCATCATTGTGCACCTAGTTTTTGCTAGTGAAACTCTTGCCAAACTGCGACTGAATGCGCAAGTAGAGAAAACATGATCTAGCTCCCGCTGGTGTAAAGTAACTCTTCGCAAATGGGAGCGTAGGGTGTTGTGAACACACCGTTCGCCACCGGCGTCTGGTGGTGAAGAAGAACGAGGGGGTTTGGGACAGGGGTCAAGAGATGTTTCGTAGGGAGGCCTGCACTACACGTCCTGCACCGACTTAAACACACGGTCCGGAGAAGAAGAAGCTGGGGGGGGGGGGGGGGTTGGATAGGGGTCAGTCAGGAGATGTTATGTAAGAAGGGTCTGAGCGCCCTGCTCTGACTCGAACGCACTGTCTGCCACTGCTGCATCTGATGATGAGGAAGGTAGGATGAAGGGGCAAAAATAAGGAGTTGTGGGGACGAGTATAATGTTGTCAATAACTATAATGTTCATATGGGTCATCATATACCTTGTCAGGCGTGCTCGTCATCCGATCACCCTATAAGTCTCCCACCCTAAACCCTCGATCTAGCAAATCATTTTTCAACGCTTGCAACTTTGACATTTTCCTCATAGCATCCGCACTGGCAGCCATGTCTACGTTGCATTTTCTCATCCGAGACGACACCACACCACACAACACCACATTATTGCACAGCACCACAGTGCATCACATCCCATCCCATCACACCACGGACCTCTGTGCATGAGCACGCCTGCCATCACGTACATCTATACACGAGTGGAATCACCTACCTCGGTGCACGTGCGGCTGCCCCTTCTCCGCCATGCTCCTGAACGTGGTGAGGGCACGCGCCACACTCTCCATCACCCGCCGCTGCCGCTTCCTCTCCCTCACCTGCCCCCACACCGGCCTCGACCGCTTCACACCCCTCCCCGCTCTCCCCTCCTCCCCTCGCCCCCCTTCCCGCCTCTCCTCCTCTCTTTCCACCCCTCTAGAACCCCATCTCTCCACCGTGCATTGCCGTTTCCTCCCCCTCCATCCCCGGCCCCTCGCCCCTCGCCCTCAACCCCTCGCCTCTCTGTGCCGCCTTGCTCCCTCCTGCTCGCCACCATGCCAGCGATCCGCGCTGCCAGCCTCGCAGGGTACTCGTCCCTCTCATCCGCGCTTGCACCGGCCATGTCAGCAGCATGGGCCACGTCAGCACGAGCCACGTCAGCAGGATAAGCACCGTCAGCAAAAGTGACATTGTTACGTGCCACCTCAGCACAAGCAACGCCATTGGCCCGCGATGCGTCAGCTGCACAGTCGACCCCTCCATTCCCCTGTGCAGCCCCGACCCCGCCACTCCCAACCCTTCTCTCGCCCACACCCTCTCTTCCCTCTCTGCTCCTCACGCCCCCTCCCTGCCCTCCCTCCCGCCCTGCAGCAGTCCCATCCGCATGAGCCATGTCAGCAGCACGAGCCACATCAGCAAAAGTGACATTGTTACGTGCCACCTCAGCACGAGGAACACCATTGGCCCGCGGTACTTCAGCTGCACGATCAGACCCACCATTCTCCTGTACAGCCCCAACCCCACCATTCCCAAATGCAGCCCCAACCCCCCCAATCCCAACCCCTCTCACTTCCACACCCTCTCCTCTCTCTCTGTTCCTCAAGCCCTCTCCCTGCCCTCCCTGTCGCCCAGCGTCCCCCCTCCTCGTCCCCCACCACTCATCACCATCCCACTCTCCACCCCTCCACCGCTCTCCACTACCCCCCCCTGCCTCCACCCCTCCTCTGTCCCTCCGACTCCGCACATTCCTTCCTGATTCATGCCTATGCATCCCTGCCACATTCCGAATTCGGTCTCCATTGCCCCATCCCTCCTCCCCTCCCCCCTCCTCAACCTCCTCCTCCCCCGCCTCCCCATCCTCCTCCCCCTCAGCCTGCACCTCCACCACTTCATCCTCCTCTTCCCCATCCTCCTCCCCTCCTTCCCCCTCTCCCCAATCCTCCTCCTCCTCCTCGTCCTCCTCCTCCCACTCCTCGTCCCACAGCGGGGCCGCAGCAGGGCACGTGTGGGCGGTGAGCAGCGCAAGGGGCAGCCACGGCGCCGTGTGCTTGCGCCACCGCCTGTAGTGCTTCCACCGCCTGTGCTGCTTCAGCCGCGGAATGATGCCCAGCTGCAGCGGGCAAGTGGGAAGGGGAGGAGGGAGCGGGGGAAGAGGGAAAGGAAGATACAAGCAACGGAGGGACAGAAGGGAGATGGAGTGTGGTCTTTGGCGTGTGAAGGCCAAGGAGGCGGAGGAGGCAGGGGAGGCAGGGGAGGCAGGGAAGGCAGGGGAGGGTTGTCAGCCCTAAAACACGGCCAACAGACCACAGCGCATCTTGACGTCTCTCACCTCGCCCTCTCTCACGCTCACCTCGCCCTCGGTCCCGTGAAGGACGCTCACCTTGGGGTCGGGGTTGAAGCACTGAGTGGTGGGGTCCCAGGCGACTTCAGGCGGCAGCAGCGCCTGGAGGACCCGAATGTCCTTCACCCACCCGCGCACCACTTTGCACCGCAATCGCAGCTGCTCCTCCAAATACCGCGGGAACCCTCGCCGCAACCACTCGCGGTGCACCGCCCCCCAGTCCTCGATCCTGCCGGGGAGGGGGGAGTCCTGAGAGCGCAGCACGCCGCGCATGATCTTCAGCAGGGCGATTGTCTGCTCGTCACTCCACCTCATCGCCCGCCCCTTGCCGCTCTGCAATGCCTGCTCCCACCGCTCACGCAAATCCCTGCCTGTGCCCGTGCCCGTGCCCGTGCCTGTGCCCGTGCCTGTGCCCGTGCCTGTGCCCGTGCCTGTGCCCGTGCCCGTGCCCGTGCCCGTGCCTGTGCCCATGCCCGTACCTGTGCCCGTGCCCGTGCCTGTGCCCATGCCCGTACCTGTGCCCGTGCCCGTGCCTGTGCCCATGCCCGTACCTGTGCATGTGCCTGCGAGCATGGCACTGCCCCTCCCTGTCAAGCCATTCCCCAGCACAGCAGGCTCGTAAGTGCTCGCGCGCAGGGGAGGGGCGGGGAGACCAAAGGGGGACGAGTGGAGGGTGGGGGAGGGAAAGGCATAAGGGGGGAGGGCGGGCACGGGAGGGGCAGTGTAACGCATCGCCCTCCTACCCTACGAGCGTTTCCTAGCTAAAGCACTACCTAAGCAAGGTATCGACTTACGGGAAGAAGAGGATGGAGGAGATGAGTGGTGATTGGTCCACAATTGTGAACAACCACCCACTAAAAGACAAGCATGGTTGGAATCCAACCCAACCCCACATTGGTTGGAATTCCAACCAATGACAATTGAACATTGTTGTTACAAGTTACAACATGTAACATAACCATTCTTATCACAATTCTATTGCTCTCATTGGTTGTTAATCCAACCATTGTGCCACCTAAGCAAGCTCACCCCAAGGAGCTCCTTGCCCTTGTTGCCATGGAGGAAGTGGAGCTCCCCAAGGAGGTCTAGGGGGGGATTGAGCTCACCAAGCTCATTCTCAACTCCCAACTTCCAATTAACCAAAATGGAAATGGGATCTTCTCTCTAAGTCCAAGTCTTTTCCCTCACAAGTGCTCCAGGCGTCTACTACCTTCTTGGTGAAGTTACCTTTTCTCTCCCAAGGCTTCACCTATCAAGCTTCCAAGACTTGAGGCTATTAATAGGACTAGTTTTTCACGGTGTGTGTGTATTCTTGGCGTTTTATAAGCCTACTATTGACCCTTTTGTGGGCATTCATTTATAAGCCCGGGTCTTTGTTGTGAGTTTAAGGGCGTTTTCATATAAGCCCGTGTTACAGGCAGGCAGGGCGACGAGGGGGTTGGCGGCCAAAACCGACTCCAACCGCACACCACCGCGCCACTCCTCCGCTCGCCCCTCTCCATCCCGATCTCCCCCTACAGCCCTCCCAGCTGCGGCTGCTTCCCTTCGCTACGCTGTTGTTGCCGCGAGGCCGCCTGCGCGGCGGGCAGCCTCCGCCCTCTGCGCGGCTTCCGCCGGCAGGTCAGGCGGTCTGCTGGGCGGCTGGCTGGGAGGTTGCTGCTCGGCGACCGCCTGTAGGCGCTGTAAGAGAAGCGAGCGAGTCATTCTGTAACGGGGAAAACGGGGAGGGGGAGAAGAGGTTTTGATTGAGCCAGAGCAATACGACGAAAGGCGGCGTAAAATACCCATCAGTTCTACAGTATAACTGGTGTCGACTTCGGAAGCAAAATGACGACGTCACGTGGCAGTCAATATCGACCGCCTGACACCTTGCGATACTCGTGACAAGCTCAATATGCTGAGCAGCATTGCGACACTAGCGGTTTGCACTTAGCAACAAACGTGCCAACACGCAGTCACGCCTCAGTCGCTATGACTTGTTATTCCAGCACACCTAATTGCGGGCCACGGTCGAAGCGCGCTTGCGGTAGACGTCGTGTGTCAGCAGTACACTGAAATAGAATACAAGGAAGTTTCGGAAGTATCCAGGAAATGCGTTGAGCGTCGTTAGTGAGGAGGTCTGGTAGGTTAGAAGGCTAGGGTTTCAGCCTTGGCAGATTTGTTTGGCGGTTTGCGAGCGTGTTTCCTGACCGAAAACTCCAGGTGGAATTCTGAGGTGAAATTTGCTGCCAAAACTGCAGCAAAACTCGATGCTGACGATATGGGGTCGAAGGAAAGTCGGAAAAAACGTTATCAACTCAACACGCTGTCTCTCGTGTTCGCGAATTTCGCCAAGCAAGAGCAAACACGTTGGGAGTTCGCAACAACTCTGGTTTGAGATGTCCAACTGATGATGAAGAAACCTTGGAACGTTCGGGGGAAGTTCGCGTCGGTTTATGGTTGCATTCCCAGTTAGGGTACACAACCCACGCGCCAACAGAACGCAGCCGAAACCATCTTCGAGGCTCTGGAACCGCCCTGCTCCCAAAGTTCACTCCCACCATTTTGGCGTCGCGCAAGTGCAAGTATGTGATAAGTGGGATTTAGGGTCAATTAGCGCATTCCTGTCCTAACACCTATCCAGGACCCTTACGAGCACGTGGTGTTGCCCTGGAAACACCGGATTGGCGGCAATCTGAATTCTAGCCCCGCTGTTCCACCTGCTGTGCATTCCACTCGCATTCGCCCAGTCGCAAGCAGCGATCGCATGCGAACCCGCATGCGACGTGCGACCCCCTCGGCCGTCCGACACTTGCACGCGACGCGGCACGCCCGTAGTGCGCCTCCGCAGCCCACGTGTCCGGTACTGACAGCTCCTGCACGCCTGAGGAGTGAGCGCGCTGGAGCTCGCTTTTAAAGCAGCTACCCGGCATGCGGCTTCCGTGCTGATCGTGTTTGATCGCGGTTGAGCGCGGTTGAGCTCGCGTTCAAATTGCCCCCTACTCACCCGTGCGGCGAATCCGCCAGCCCTGCATGCGTCTCCCGGCGTGCTGACGGGCATTGCAGCTGCGAGTGTGTCACGCGCGGCTGTGTCGGTGCGCGGGCGAGGGGAGGGCGCGCTTCCGCCATGGGAGTCACTTGGTGAGTGGAGTGCGGCGGCCTCCAGGGTGGCCCCCTATTCTGCACTTCCTTCCCCACATTCGCCGCTGCGCGAACACCCCTCTGCTCGCACACCCCCCTGCTCGCACACCCCCCTGCTCGCACAACCCCCTGCGTGCTCACCCCCGTGCAAACCCCCACTGTCCGCAGCACACAGGCTCGTCAATTAACAGGTCACCTTGCCGCGCATGCAGCACGCTATACACACCCTCTTTCATGTTCTTTCAACTCAGTTTATCCCTCCTCTTTTTCCCAATACCCTTCACTTCGAAGATTCTCCCCGCGCCCCTCCCGCCCTTCTCCTCCGCATCCCATAGTGCTACACTGGCAGCCCTCGCCTTCCCCCTCCCAGGCCCCCAGGAGCACAGCCCCCACTCTCTCATCCCCTCATCCACAACCCGATCAACCCCCCTCTCCTCTCCCCCTGTCCCCCACTCCCTCAGTCGAGCCACCTACGCATGCCCACATCCGCCCCCTGCCAACACTCGCCCCTTTCTCACACTCCCTTCCCCCTCACCAACCCCCTCCCACGTCTCAGGTTGCCGCACTGGCATCCCTCCCACCCACCCACGCAGGCCCCCGGAAGCGCAGCCTCAGCGCCCTCATTCTCCCCGCTGCTGTCCCTGACCACGCACACCAATGGGCCGGGCCATTAAGTGAGAGCCTCTCTGCTGTGACCAACGGGCCTTGTCCCTTACTCCTTTCTTCCCCACTCCCCTGTCCCCCACAGCCTTCTCCCCCCACACGCTCCCCTCCTCTCCTCTCCTTCCACTCCCGCCCACACCTTTCAGGTTGCTGCACTGGCAGCCCTCGCCACCCCCCCCAGCCCCCCGGCAGCACAGCCCCGCCACCCTCATCGTCGTCGCTGCTGTCCCTGGCGACCTACACGGACGTGGCCAAGGCCATTGAGAGCCTGCCCGCCGTCAGGAAGGGGCGCTGGCAGTGCACGTGCTCGCTGTATCGCCCCAACACACGCGGTGACTAAACTTGATGAGTGTAATGGAATGGAAGGCCATTGAGAGCCTGCATGCTGTGAGGAAAGGGTGCTGGCAACGCACGAGGTGAGAGAAACAAGAGAGAGGGGGCTGAGGAGTGAAGAATGAAGGAGGATGGGCTGTGTGAGGAATGTTTTTGTGGCATTGGCACTCGATGGGATGGAATGGGATGGAATGGGATGGAATGGGATGGGATGAGATGGGATGGGATGGGATGGGATGGGATGGGATGGGATGGGATGGGATGGGATGGGATGGGATGGGATGCCACTCGAGCCACACACACAGTAGTGGGAGGGAAGGCAATCTATATTCAATTGCCCCTCAAAGCAGCAGCAAGGGCAGTGTTGCCTTCCCTGCGACCGCATTCGCTCACTGACCCCCTCCTACCACCCCCTCCTACCACCCCCTCCTACCACCCCCTCCTACCACCCCCTCCTACCACCCCCTCCTACCACCCCCTCCTACCACCCCCTCCTACCACCCCCTCCTACCACCCCCTCCTACCACCCCCTCCTACCACCCCCTCCTACCACCCCCTCCTACCACCCCCTCCTACCACCCCTCCTACCACCCCCTCCTACCACCCCCTCCTACCACCCCCTCCTACCACCCCCTCCTACCACCCCCTCCTACCACCGCAGCCTACCCCCCCCTCCTACCACCCCTCCTACCACCCCCTCCTACCACCCCCTCCTACCACCCCCTCCTACCACCCTGTCCTGCCTCACTCTCGTTCCGACGTCTCCTACCACCCCCTCCTACCACCCCCTCCTACCACCCCCTCCTACCACCCCCTCCTACCACCCCTCCTACCACCCCCTCCTACCACCACCCTCCTACCACCCCCTCCTACCACCCCCTCCTACCACCCCCTCCTACCACCCCCTCCTACCACCCCCTCCTACCACCCCCTCCTACCACCCCCTCCTACCACACCCTCCTACCACCCCCTCCTACCACCCCCTCCTACCACCCCCTCCTACCACCCCCTCCTACCACCCCTCCTACCACCCCTCCTACCAGCCCCCTCCTACCACCCCCTCCTACCACCCCCTCCTACCACCCCCTCCTACCACCCCCTCCTACCACCCCCTCCTACACCCCCTCCTACCACCCCTCCTACCACCCCCTCCTACCACCCCTCCTACCACCCCCTCCTACCACCCCCTCCTACCACCCCCTCCTACCACCCCCTCCTACCACCCCCTCCTACCACCCCTCCTACCACCCCCTCCTACCACCCCCCTCCTACCACCCCCTCCTACCACCCCTCCTACCACCCCCTCCTACCACCCCCTCCTACCACCCCCTCCTACCACCACCCCCTCCTACCACCCCCTCCTACCACCCCCTCCTACCACCCCCTCCTACCACCCCCTCCTACCACCCCCTCCTACCACCCCCTCCTACCATCCCCTCCTACCACCCCCTCCTACCACCCCCTCCTACCACCCCCTCCTACCATCCCCTCCTACCACCCCCTCCTACCATCCCCTCCTACCATCCCCTCCTACCACCCCCTCCTACCACCCCCTCCTACCACCCCCTCCTACCACCCTCCTACCACCCCCTCCTACCACCCCCTCCTACCACCCCTCCTACCACCCCCTCCTACCACCCCCTCCTACCACCCCCTCCTACCACCCCCTCCTACCACCCCCTCTACCACCCTCCTACCACCCCTCCTACCACCCCTCCTACCACCCCCTCCTACCACCCCCTCCTACCACCCCCTCCTACCACCCCCTCCTACCACCCCCTCCTACCACCCCCTCCTACCATCCCCTCCTACCACCCCCTCCTACCACCCCCTCCTACCACCCCCTCCTACCACCCCCTCCTAACCAACCCCCTCCTAGCCAACCCCTCCTACCACCCCCTCCTACCACCCCCTCCCTACCACCCCCTCCTACCACCCCCTCCCTACCACCCCCTCCTACCACCCCCTCCTACCACCCCCTCCTACCACACCCTCCTACCACCCCCTCCTAACACCCCCTCCTACCACCCCCTCCTACCACCCCTCCTCCCCTCAACCACCCCTCCTAACCCCCCTCCTACCACCCCCGTCCTACCACCCCCTCCTACCACCCCGACTCCTACCACCCCTCCTACCCACCCCCTCCTGACCACCCCCCTCCTACCAGCACCCCCTCCTACCACCACCTCCTACCTACCACCCCTCCTACCAAACCACCCCCCTCCTACCCCCCCTCCTACCACCCCCTTCCTCCACCCGCTTCCACCACCCCCGTTCGCGCCAGACACGGCAGGGGCGCCGCCACCCCAGTCTGACGTGGCGGCAGCGCGGGAGCTGTTCGGCGTGTCGTTTGCTGACGTGGCGGGGCGGCACTTCCTGGTGCTGCGGCAGGAGCGCGTGGTGGTGGAGGCGGAGAGCAGCGTGCAGACGCTCATGGAGACCCTTCAGCTCTACCGCCACCGCCTATCTATAGTCTATGAGGTCAGAGCCTTCCCTTCCCTGGCCGTATGAGAGGACTTTTGAGGCGCCTCAAAAGGGTGGTGGTGGAGGCGGAGAGCAGCGTGCAGACGCTCATGGAGACGCTACAGCTCTACCGCCACCGCCTCTCCATCGTCTACGAGGTGAGGGCCTGGCCCTGTCGTATGAGAGGTGAGGGAGTGAGACACCCCCTCTCAGGGCTCTCCTTGCTGCAGACGCTCATGAAGACGCTGCAGCTCTACCGCCACCGCCTCTCCATTGTCTATGAGGTCAGAGCCTTCTCTAGGCATGTTGGTTGGATGTGAGGACCCCTTTTTGCAGTGCGAGGTGTGGGCCCCACCCCTCCCACCCACTGCTACAGACGCTCATGGAGACCCTTCAGCTGTACCGCCACCGCCTCTCCATTGTGTACGAGGTGGAAAAGGCTCTCCCTTGCTGCACTGCGCACTGCACCGTCCAATGTCCAATGTACACTGCACTGCTCTCCAGCGTCCACAGGGTGAGGCGCCACTTGGGGAGGCGACGAGCCTTCCCCTTGGTTGGTTCCCCCCGTTTTCCCCCAAACTCCCCTTACTATCAGGTCAGAGCCTTCCCTGCTCGTGTGGGAGGTGAGTGAGAGAACCCTCCCCCTCAGGGCCTCCCTAGCTGCAAAGAGGCTCATGGAGTCACTGCAGCTTTACCGTCTCCATTGTGTATGAGGTGGGGCAAACACGCACTTGCTACACTCTGCCCTGTCCTGTCCGTCCGGTGCCACACTGCATGGCGTCTCCGTTGTCTCCGACTGTTGTGCTGCTCGTGATTCTTGTCGGGGGTGTTTGAGAATCCCCCCAAACCCCACTCCGCTGCACCTTTTTCTGTCTACGAGGTCAGACCCTCCGCTTGCTGTATGAGCTCCGACCCTTCCTTGATGAGGAAGGAGGGGGGCTGGGGTGAGCGTGAGCAAGGCCACCGCACATGGGTGACCGGGTGTGCTGCTTCACCCACGCTCACATCTTCCGTCTCTCTGCCCAGCTTGCACGGCTGAATTCTGCGACTTACTCATCAGTGCCTTGAGCTACTTCTAAGCACCTCATTCCTTAACGCTTCTCTCTCTCTCTTCCATCCCCGCTCGTCCTCGCTTCCCCTCATCCACTAACCGCTGCCCTCCCGCTTTCCACCGTCCTCCTCCCCCTCCCCCTGCAGGGCTTCGAGTATCTGATAGGGGACTTCGCCATGCGCCTGGGCCGCGCCATTCTCTCCACCAATGAGGCGTTGCGAGGCATCGTGGTGGAGGTGAGGGATGAGGAGATGTGTGGACATGGGTGGGGCATTGTGGGGTGGTGAGGGATGAGGAGGCGGGTGGTTATGGGGGGGGCGGTGAAGCATTGGGAACAGATAGGGCTTTGTGGGAGGTGGGGCAGCTCACATGCACTTTTCACACCCTTTCTCTTCTTGTTGTGAAACACACCGTCTTTCCCACCCCACGCACCGTTTTATTGGCCCGCAAATAGTGTCCCTTCATTGGTCATCCGACTTGGCCCATTTGGCTTTCCAAAACTGGATTTGCAATGCGATGCGTGTGCGAGGCAATTCGTGTGGGGCAATGCATGTGTGAGGCAATGCATGTGTGAGGCAATGCATGTGTGAGGCAATGCATGTGTGAGGCAATGCATGTGTGAGGCGATGCATGTGTGAGGCAATGCATGTGTGAGGCAATGCATGTGTGAGGCGATGCATGTGTGAGGCAATGCATGTGTGAGGCAATGCATGTGTGAGGCGATGCATGTGTGAGGCAATGCATGTGTGAGGCGATGGGTGATTGATCTCAGCTCAAAGCTTCATATGCAAGTGGCTTCATCCCCGTGCTTCCTAGTGCTTTCCCTCTCCTCATAACCTTCCCTTCCCCTTCCTGTCTGAAGTACCTCTACTTCTCCCCCTGCCTACTCCCACACCCATTCCCCTGATTAGGTGCAATGCCTCCCTCATCCTTCCTCCCGTATTTATCCCTCTCCGTTTGTTCACCTTGTCCCCTCTGCTCCCTGTCTGCTCCCCATCTCCTTCTCATCTTCCCCCTCTCATGAGGTGGAGTACGTGCCCACCTCATCCTTCCCACACGTCTTCTCCTCAAATTCCTGGCTCTCAGGCACGACCTCGTGTTAGCGCAATCACAACGTCTCATCCTCCTTATCTGTCCACTTTCCCATCCCCATCCACTTCTCACACCCTCCCTACCTTCCCCATCAGATTGAATACCTGCCAACCTCGTCCCTCCCCAACGCGCGCCCCCTCCTCCTCGACTTCCTGGCCATGTGGCACGACCTGGTGGCAGCGCAGGGCCTCGTGGGGCGCTTTGTGCCGCTCGACCCGGCCTTCTCCGACTACTCGCTGGGCGACTCCTTCTCGCTGCCGCACAGCGCACTGCAGTTCGTGCTCGTGTCCGCGCACCTCATGGCCGCACGGGCATAGCTCGCCTCGTTCTCATTCTCTTCACCTCGTCTCCTCCCATTTCATGGCCGCTCGTGCCTGACTGTCTCGGTGCCAGCTGTGTACACTTGGCAATTCTCTTCTCCAGTTACTCGCTGGGAGACGCCCTCTCACTGCCACTTAACAGAGACTACAGCTCAAAACCCGAAACCCTGAACCCACTGGCAGCATTCAATTTTTGTTTACTGTATGCACTGCCGACTTTCAAGCAGGCCCTCAGATTCACTTTTTGGCACGTAAGTGCATCAGGGTCCCTCTGTGTAGCATCCCTGGTCGACAGTGTCCCCTAAAGAAAAAGCCTGAAAGTTCAGTGTTACTTTTTAAAAAAGTCTGATGCATCAATGTTTCCCCAAATAAAAAGGCTGTCGTCATTAAAAGTCATGCCAATGATCGGACCAGGCGCGCCAGCAAAGCAACCCTCGTAGTGATTAGTACGGGGCAAATTTGTGGGTAGTCACCACCAGGCGGTGCTTACACTACGGGAATCTGAGATTCCCTGTACTTCCGGTCAACTACACTCGGAACGTGTAGGAATCGCATTCAGTGTCAGTTTTGTTGTAACTAGGAGCTAGGTGAGAATGTCGATTAGGTAAGATGGAGGGATACAAGACTATCAAGAGAATTGGGTTGTACCCTCTAAGGGATGACCCCTACACAACCTAGAGTGAAATAAACAGAACTATATGTTTTGACACACCCCCATAGGTGAAGTAGGGGAGAGCCAAACATAACAGTGGTCACAAGACCAGTCAAGCAAGAGAACAAGCAAGGCAAAGCCCAGGGTGGATCTCAAGGGCACCACACAATCAGAGCACAAGTAGGCAGCCACAAAGCCAGCTCACATGCAGATTTATAATAGCAAGGCAGTACATTGATCACAACCTAGCGTACACATGCAGGTATAAAGATACATAGCGGTGTACAACAAGAGCAAGTCAAGCAACCAGCAGGTGAGGCAGAGTGAGCACAGGCCCAAGAGAAGTGCAAAAACGCTGATGATCACCAGACCCAAGGGCCTTGGTGAAGACATCAGCAGTGTTGGCCCGAGAGGCCACGTAAGCAAGGCGCAGCTCACCCAGGGCTCTTGCTAGGATTTAAGCCTGTCTGAAAATCTTAATGGGAAAAACAGTTTCGTCTGACATTCAGACGAGGTAAAAAAAATTGGTCTGCTTTCCCAGATGAATGCAAAAGCCGCGTCTGAATTTCCAGATGAAACAAATAGTGGTGTCTTTTTGTTTGCAAGAAATTGTGAACTGTTTTACTTTTATCAAGGCGACACAACCTAAACGGGTTTGGGCTGCAATGCGAGAGGCGGGAGCGGAGCAGGGGGGTGTTGAGATAGAGGCGAGGAATGGGTGCACTATGAAATGAAAACAAGTACAAGTACCAACCCTAATTGGGTTGTACCCCCTATGGGCTACCCCACTACAGCCTAAATATATGCATCAGTAATATGATCATCTGACACACCCCCATAGGCAAAGTGGGGGAGAGCAAGGGGTCACAAGACCAGTCAAGCAAAGCAAAGCAAAGCAAAGCAAAGCAAGCTCAGAGTGGATCTCAAGGATACCACACAAATTCCGAGCACAAGGTCAAGGCCACAAGGCCAGTTCACATGCAGCAGAGCATATGTATATAACAGTGCTAAACAAGCAAGAGCAAGGATATATATATGCAGCAGTACAAGCAAGGTCAAGAGGTAAGCAAGTGAGGCCCAGTGGGCACAAGGCCTAGCAGAGTGCAAAAGCGCTGATGGTCACGAGGCGGAAGTGCCTTGGTGAACACATCAGCAGTGTTGGCCTCAGTGGCCACGAAACGCAGGCGAAGCTGACCACGCTGCTGCAGCTCTCGAGCAAGGAAGTAGCGTAGAGCAATGTGCTTCGTCCTGTGCTCCAGTCTGTGCTCCTCACACAAGGCAATGGTTGCCTTGTTGTCGACGTACAGCACTGGAGGAGAACGAGGCCGCTCTCCAAGGTCAGTCAGCAGGTAGGTGAGCCAGCGAAGCTCCTGGGCAGCCATGGCCGTGGCGTAGATCTCATCCTCACAGCTGGAGCTGAGAACCGAAGAAGAGCGAGTAGAGCGCCAAGAGACAGAGCCAGAGCCAAGACTGAAGGTGTAACCCTGAGACGACCTCTGAGTAGCCTGGTCGTCAGCCCAAGAAGCGTCTGAGTGCCCAGTGAGCACAGGCCGCTCACGCCCTCCAAGCACTAGCCCCATGCCCGATGTACTGCACAAGTAGCACAACACCCTCTTAGCTGCATCCATGTGCTCCTTCCGGTGACGGCCAGGAGCAACATAGCGTGCTAAGATGCTGAGAGGGTATGCGAGGTCAGGTCGAGTGCAAATCATCAGGTACATGAGGCAGCCCACAAGCTCTGGATACGGACCACTCGACTCTACGGACTCATCCGAAGGCAGAGCTGAGAGCGAGTGTCCCGTAGGCAGAGGAGTGGCCTGAGGCAAGGAGTACGTGAAGCCGAAGCGCTGAAGGACCTGCTGCACCATGTGTGACTGAGTCAGGGTAATGGTGCGGCGTGCTCTGTCCCGGGTGATCCGCAGGCCAAGATAGCTTGTCAGTTCACCCAGGTCTGTGCACGTGTGTCTCTTCTGCAGCTCGGACTTCACGTGGGCGAGTGCGGCAGTGTCCGCAGTGGCAAAGACCAAGTCGTCGACGTACACGAGGATGTAGAAAGGCGGCAGCGAGGTGTCGGTGCGCAGAAACAGCGACGGGTCAGTAGTAGAAGGAGCAAACCCAAGAGCCGCAAGTGTAGTCCTCAGTGTGTCGTGCCACTCACGCGGTGCCTGGCGGAGACCGTGGACTGGCCGCCGGAGGCTCCACTGGGTACCAGGAGGGAACGACCCAGTGAAGCCAGGAGGGCGGCGCAGCCAGATCTCCTCGTGCAGGCGGCCCTGCAGGAAAGCAGTGCTGAAGTCAAGAGAGTGTAGCTCGTAGTCACGCTGAGCAGCGACGTGCAGTAGAACCCGAAGAGTGGCCATCTTCGGGGTCGGGGAGAAGGTCTGAAAGAAGTTAACTCCCTGTCGCTGACTGAAGCCACGAGCCACGTAGCGCGCCTTGAAGACAGGCGGAGAACCCGGCGGCCGCTTCACCCTGAAGATCCACATGCCACTGACAATGTTCGCCATAGGAGGGGGAACAGCGTCAACGTAGGTACCTGTGGACTTCCAGGAAGCCATCTCTGCGTCCATGGCTGACTGCCACTGAGAGGAGTAGGGACCGGCCATCGCCTCTGCGTAAGAGCGTGGGGTCGGGATGTCTAGAGCATCCGGGTCTCCCTCAGGGGCAACAAGCATGGACACGAGATGGGGCAAAGCGGCGGCAAAGCACTGGAACTCCTCCTGCCTGTCCTCAAGGACGTCCGTGCCAAGAGCACAGTCACCCCCGACGGACGGAGGACAGGCAGACGCAGACGCAGCAGACGCAGACTTAGCAGACTCAGTAGACTCAGCAACAAGACTGGCAGCGTAGTCCAGACGACACGCAGCAGCAAAGTCGACCAGCTCAGCAACTAGGGCAGACGCAGCAGCGGACTCAAAGGAAGGGTCAGTGACAAGAGAAGCAAGAAGACGCGTGACAGTAGGACTGGCAGCACGGTGAGAGTCCGACTCCGGGTCGGCAAGTGTAGGAAGAGAAGACTGAGGAGGAGAAGGCAAAGGGGCACGCAGAGGAGCAGTGGACGGACGCAGAGACATCTGGTGCGTGCCAGGGACAGGAGGAGGACGCTGACGCGAACCGCGACCACTAGGGCGAGCAGCTCGGACTGGCGACGCAGGACGGGACGCAGGCTCACGACGCTCAGCAAGACCTCCAGTAGGACCAGCATAGGGAGAAGGAGAAGGCAGGGGAGAGACGGGCTGTAACTGTGACTCTGACGGGACAGGCTGCGGACACTCTACGGGAGGAGAAGGACTAGTGGAAGGCGGGAGACCAAGAACCTGCTGAAGGAGCGGAACGAAGTACGGCCGAGGCCGCGCAGCACCGCTAGAGACAGCAGGGACAGTACCAACTGTGAAATGAGTAAGCAGGAAAGTGAATGAACTATGAATGAAAGCAGTACAAATATGAAACCCTAACTGAGTTGTACCCCCTATGGGATACCCCACTACAGCCTACACAGCAGTATAAGCTATAGATATGTTCTGACACACCCCCATAGGCAAAGTGGGGGAGAACAAGGGGTCACAAGACCAGTCAAGCAAGACAAAGCAAAGCTCAGGGTGGATCACAAAGTCACCACACAGTCCGAGCACAAGAGCAAGGCCAAAGGCCAGTTCACAAGCAAGAGTACAGACATATATATAAAGCTAGACAAGCAAGAGCAGGTATATATATATGTCACAGTACAAGTGAAGTCAAGAGGAGAGCAAGTGAGGCAAGACAGGCACAAGACCCAGCTGGGTGCAGAAGCGCTGATGGTCACAAGGCGCAAGTGCCTTGGTGAACACATCAGCAGTGTTGGCCTCAGAGGCCACGTACGCAAGTCGCAACTGACCACGCTGCTGCAGCTCACGAGCAAGGAAGTAGCGGAGAGCAATGTGCTTCGTTCTGTGCTCCAAGCGCTGCTCTCGACACAAGGCCAGCATAGCCTTGTTGTCTACGTACAGCACTGGAGGAGAACGAGGCGGCTCTCCAAGGTCAGTCAGCAGGTAGGTGAGCCAGCGAAGCTCCTGTGCAGCCATGGCCCCGGCGTAGATCTCAGCCTCACAACTGGAGCCAAGAACCGAAGACGAGCGAGTAGACCGCCACGAGACAGAGCCGGAACCAAGGCTGAAGGTGTAACCCTGTGACGACCGCTGCGTAGCCTGGTCGTCAGCCCAAGACGCGTCCGCGTGGCCGGTAAGGACCACTGGACCCCGCCCTCCAAGCACTAGCCCCATGCCTGACGTACTGCACAGGTAGCGCAATACCCTCTTCGCTGCAGCCATGTGCTCCGGTCTGTGTCTCCCAGGAGCAACATAGCGTG